GCCCTTTGCGCCTGTGGGATGCACACACTGGCCTCTGCAGATGCCATCTGGTGGGCCATTTGTATTACAAATCACTGCATCACAGTGCACATAGATCTGTGGGGAGACTGGAAGGTTAAGCACACATTGATACAGTATTGCATTAGACAGCCCTATGACTAGATTGCCTGAATCACCTGATCTCTCAGAACTTCGTTGTCATTGGTGAAGGTGAACATCCTCATAGAGAAGCGTTTGACGTGGGATGGCATGGCAATATTATCCTTAACTGGATGGAAGACTGTCACATGGGTGTCATCGCGATTCTCACAACTAGTGAGGAAAAATTTTTTTTAATGTACCATGAAGACTCATTTTCCAAGTAATTAACCACCCACTCTAGACTATAGCAAAGTTAGCTGGACTACATAGTTGAAGTATTGGAGATAGTCTACTTAATGCCATCACCTGTTCACAATGATGTCCCATTGGGGTACAGATGTCCTGTCTTCTTGAAGAGTAGCCCAGCAGTTCTCCACGATGAGCTCCAACTGGGGGTCTGTTGACTGCATCAGCACCACCTCGAAAAACAGGGGGTCTCTCAGGTATTTCTTCAGTGGATAATCTTCAGCTTTGTAAAAGTGCTGATAAGCAGCATCTGAAAGAGAAGCTCAATTAGAACTCTAAGGCGGTGTATACACCTAAAGAGAACAGACGTCAAATTCTCCACCTTTTAGCAAACCGACTGTCAGACTTACCCTGGGCTTGCCTCATTTGCACCATTAGCAGCCCTGTCCCAATTTCTGCTTTAGGATCATAGCTCCTTGGTTTGTGACTGAATGCAACAGTTTGTGTTTTGTTGACCATGTAGTAGCAGTAGATTGTTTGCCTAAACAGGATGGGAAAAAAAAAAAAACATTTTAAACTTTGAATCAGCAGTTCATCAGGATAACTCACTGGTCAAGTCTACCTACTTGTACCCAGGTTCAGCAGGTGATGTTTTTGCTGTCACCTTATGATAAAGGCTGATCTCATTTTGATAAAGCATGTGGTTGTCAAAGAACTTAAACAAAAAAAACAAAAACACAAGTTGATTAACACATTTCCCAAAAGGCACTTTCAACTGATAAAGGTCTGTAAACGTACTGTTCTACTTGTTCCACATGAATCTGCAGAGAAAGAAAAGTGGGCAAAGCGATCGTTGCTGAAAACTGGTCTACAAGACCGGTCCTTCAAAGTTAGCTGACTTGGGACGAGACTGGGCACAGATTCCAGCTTCACAGCCACTGCTGTTATTGTTCCATTAGGATAGCATTCTGAAGAAAGTAGACATTATTATGATTTTGTTTGTTACTTTAATGAGTAGTTTAAGTGATCAAATCTTACTAGTCGTCATCAAGGGGAAGCTGCAGGCCAGGGAGAGGTCACCAAGCACCCACTGATTGTTTGGTTCCCAGAGCACGATGTCAAGTCTGGCTTGGATGGAAACTGAGGAAACCAGCTGCAAGAAGATGTTCAGAGCACATTTAATTCTGATCCTGAGGAGAGTGGCATTTACAGGGCTTTTCCTGTCTATGCTTGGAAGGTTTTCAAAGAGTTATATTATACACACACCTCAAAGTTTGAGTCTTGGGCATTGTAGGGCACTCTGAGGTGCAAGTGTGTGCGGTTTTCCTGCACCTTGTAGGCTTTATCCAGGTCGGGGGTTAGCTGTCGCGTTCCAACCGTGGTCTCAAAATTACGGCCTTGACTGCCATATTTCACCCTGATGTAAAAGTGCTTCTGATCACAGGTGCCAGTAAGTGCAGGCAGCACTGCGAGGGAAAGAAAAGTCAACCATCTGGAGTTCGAAGCTCAATGTTCAATTCTAGAAAAGAGTCTCACCAACATCCTGCAGAGACGCCTGCAGTGTCACCTCATGAGCAAAGGAAGTTCCATCAGGCAGGATGAGCAACCCAATGGTCAAAGGGAGAGAGTAGGTTGTAACCAAGGGTTCAGGATTCTTAAGGGGGGAAAAAAAAAAAAAAAAAGTCATGTTGGCAGTTGGAGTACAATCTTGAATGCAATTTCCAATAGTTGGCCACATACGGTCTTCAGGACGACATCGGCATCGAAGGCCACTTGTAAAGAGAAGCCCTTTGTGCCATTGGTGTAGATGTGCTCCTGGACAATGAGGCCTCTGGCATTGCTCTCCTCCACAGTGAGAACACCAGTAACAAAGGTGATGTTCTTCAGCTCCACATCATAAAAGAAGTCCCCCAACTTGACGCTAAACACACCGTCCTCTGGAACCGTATCTGAGGAACAAGCCATGCGTTTAGGCTTTTTCTAAAACCTCGACTTTCAGTTCTTTACCATTAAGTGGGACTTACAATCTTCTACATGGGGAAGTCTGGGCATCAGAGGCGTTGTAATGGGGAACAAAACCTTGTATTTTATATCATCTTGGGTCCCATCTGCCCTCCAGAGTACCTCAAGCATCGGCTCCACAGTGTAGGTGACATGGTACTGGTATTCTGGGGCATGACTCTGCAATCATTTATAGCATTTTAATAAAACGTACATACAAACAAGTTGCATGTTTAGGTAGCTTTCCAGACCTTGTAGTAACCATCGGGTGAGCCCACTGGGATCTCGGCAACAATGTGAAAGTCTGTGGTGGATAGTGTGTACCCTCTCGCAGCCATCTGAGACCTATCCAGCCTCTGCCCATTGATGCCCATGTGCATCTCTACAATTCTGAATGTGCCGTCCATTAGAGGGGTCATGCGGCGAGGGATGTACCAAGAGATCACACTCTCAGTGAAGAGTACGCCCCCTAGAAGAGAGGAAGCAACTTATTGACAATTCTACACTTTAATGCTTACTGTGAAGAAGGGTTGATGCTCACCTGTGGGACAAGCTGCCGCCAAGTTCACGATACCCAGACCACTTTCTGCCTTGTTGTAGACGCTCACCTTGAAGATTTCCATGGGGATTCCAGCCACCTTAAGGAAAAATAATAAAAAAGAATATGGACTTTACTGTCATTTTTAATTACCAGAAATAATTATCCATTATGAAGTAATCCTTACATCCTCTGAGAAGGTCTCTGGTGTATTGTAAGGGCTTCGCATAATCAGTCTGTTAGAGGTAGTCATTGCACTGTAGCCAGCTTGTTCAGCCTCCCTCGGCACCATTACCACTGGTTCAGGGGTGAAAAATGTCATCTTCCAGATACCATGTGATGCACCAGAGTCCTGCAGCAAAATGGAACATTTTGAGCCTTCATTGAATTGCATTTAGTAATTTTCTTATCTCTATAATCTAGGCACCTCAAGCAGATATGAGTCAACGTTTTGATCGTGAGCCGGCCGCTTAGTTTGTGGATTAGCTTTCATCAAGTAGTTTGACACCTAGAAGACAAGACAAAGCTAATTGAAGAGTTTGAAGCGCATAAGGATTAAAGTAAACCTGGCAGTATGAAGTAACCTACTTCCATGTAGTTCCTTTCACAGAGAACCTCTTTAGGGGCCCAGCGAGTGTAGCTGCACGTCTGACTCACTTCATGAGTTACCACATCTGATGGCCTCTGGCTGTACATTTGGAGTTTCAAGCCAATGTTAAATGTTGCATCATCCTATAAGAGACGAGTTTAAGCAGTTAGTTCCCCCTGAAAGTCTGTTCCTGACACACTATTACCTGTACTCATTTGCAAATTTAATTGCAAGACTTGCAGACCTAAAATTAAGGTTTCTATTAAATGGAAGGTTGAAGTAAAATCTAGGTGATACTTAAATTTGTAAAGTTTGGAAAGAAAAAAAAAAAAAGTTCCACCTCAGCTCAACATACCTTGTTGTCCACAAAGCAGCCCATTAGAGACGTGTAGATTCTTGTGTTACCCCAGGGGTCAGACTCCATGCTGTACCCACACTGAGCAGCCAAGGTGGGCGTCAACAAGACACGCTGGGTGCCATCTGGAGGTTACATGCAAACATGAGGGATCACGTCTCAAAGCAATGACACAGCCTGTTCCTAATTAGCCCTTTAACTCACTGATGGCTTCCACTACAAGCTGGTTCCCCACTGCTAGAGCCTCATCCATTGACAGCCTCATTAGATTTCCTAAACAGTCTGCCTTTAAACCACTGCCTGTGAAAGAAGACGATGGTCAGGTAGTGTAGCCTCACTTAATTTGATCTGGAGTAATTTAACATGAGTTAGTCTTACTTGACTGTGAAGCGAGCTTCGTATTTGGCCATGCTTGACCCAAAACAATTACTGCAGCCATCAAGTTCCATAATAAACTTGAAGAGGGAAGGGGGGAAAAAAAAAATGCACATTTTAGAAAAATTAGAGTAACCGTCAGAAAACTAAACAAGACTAAACTTAAACTTACATGTTTTTAAGCCGCCACATGTTGCAGTGTCAATGTAACCATGCAAAAACAAAAAAATTTACTGAACCCAACCAGAGCTTGGCATTGAAACCCCCAGCAAGACCTACCACCAACAAACCAGCTCCGACACAAAAGAGCTGACTGCTTCACTCAGGCGTCAGCAGCTGTTTTATACAGCAGGTAATCACCTCTGCACAGGTGAAACGCATCAGTGATGCTTCCTGCCTCACTCACTGTGGGGAGGCTCCACTTATGATGCCTTTGCTTCTCGTAGGACATTACAAAATCTGTATTTGTGTGAATAAGCAAGCGCGAGACAGACATGTGTCATTAAATAATTTATTGTCATTGATTTGTGATTCTATTTACATTTGTCTATATTATATTTACATTGTCTTCTGTGTATGTTTGTTGTTTCTATATTTGCTGACTTCCTTCCTTTAAAACCACATCACCTTGTTGTATTAAAACTTAAGCTGTGTCTGAGCTTCAATTTAGGACACAAAGTGTGCTTTATGCAGCTGAGACATTCCTCATTATTATTTTATGTCAGCTTCTGATTAGGGTTCATTTAAAGTCGCAAAGCCTCTCCTACAACCTTCAACAGGGGGCTCCAACATTTATCAGGCTTTCACCTGATGGGTCGATAAGTCTGCAGTGTCCAGTCACAGTCTTATACGGCCCTTTATGAAGGGATATCAATTTTTCACTAACTGAGAGGAGCTTGAGTCGGTGTAAAAAAAGAATATTAATGCTCTTCTTTAAAAAAATCCATCAACTGTGGCCCCTGATCCAGTGGGACGTCTGCTTCATCTGATCAATTATCCTTTGATTTTCAGCTCTGTCTTTCTTTGTGCAAATGACTTTATATTTAAAAACAAAAAAAATGACAAGCGAATAAAAACAGTTGGACAATTATTGATATTAAGTGCACTGTTGTACATTTTGTTATCAGCAGGATTAGAGGTTACACATGACATGTAGGTTCAGAAGCTGTCAGTATCCCCTGTTTATCTTGTGCTCCCGGTCCAGAAGTGTCTGTTGAAGGCTCACTTTGGCATCTTCAAAATCCGGGTTGAGCTTTAATGCCTGCTGGAAATCGCTCTTGGCATCGTCAAAAAAGCCTGTAAGATAATAAAAATTGTAAATACATATTAAATATAAGGGTATCTTTTATAA